CCAACTCCGTCAGTGTGGTAGCTCAACCAGGGCATGCAGAACATTCTAAAACCCGCCAGCTTAACTGTTCCTGCAGAAAGGATGTCTTCATCCTCTCAGGCTGCTGTAATAGACTAGGAGGTTTATAAACAACAGAAATTTATTTCTCACACTTCTGGAGGCTGAGAAGATCAAGAACAAGACACTGACGGAGTCAGTGTCTTGTGAGGGTACACTTTCTGGTTCATTTAATGTGCAGCATTGCTAGTTAAAGGGACAACTTGGTGGGAAGTGAACAGGGAGGACCAGAATCTCTGTTTGCCTGAGACTGTGAACCCATTTGAGGCAAGCAGTGTTCAGAAGACCAGGCAGTGTTAGCAGAGATTTCTAGGATGTAAGAAAGCCTTATAGGCAGCTCTGCCCTATCCTGCATTCTTCAGGACATATGCATGCACAGAAAAGATCAAAGCAGCCCATGCCACCATACACACATCCTTGGCAGTTGCATCCTGAATACGGGGGTGCACAGTAGTTGGGAGAAAGCCAGTCATTGGTCCCTTCATTTAAGATTCTTCTATGCACCACTAAAGACTTTGGACTCAAAGAGTGAGTGAAGTGTGCTTTTAATATCCATAGCCTTTTGGGGTGCTCCCTGAAATACTTACTCCTGTCTCCCTTATTCAGAGTATTGAAGCAACCATCATAGTTAGAAAAGCTGGGGCACCTAACCACAGATCAAAGGGGCAGGAGTCAGTAGCCTACATGACATTGCAGAATTTGAAGAAGATGCACAATCCTGAGACTTCTTCAGAAGGAAGGGAGAGAAGTGAAGCTTGCACATAACCTCCCAGCACTGCAGCAGTCTAATCTAGGGCCAAGGGGCAGGCAGCTCTTAGCAGGTTGCCAGATATTGCAGGATTAAGAGAGGATACACAATGTAGAGACTTCTCCTTTAAGACAGAGAGAGAAATGAAGTTTGTACCTGATGTCCATACACTTCCCCTAGTGGCTCTCAGAAGCTGTCTAGGCTCTGTGGGAGGGGGAAAAGGAACATAATATTGAAACTTCTCTCTCAGGAAGGATGAAGAGGAGTGGAGCATGTACTTTCACAAATAAGTCTTGAGAGGCTCCCAGAATCTTTAGCTGAGCTGATTGGTGCAAGTCTTTCCCTGATTAAACAAGTCTATAAAGACTTGGACAGGTGACTGCTTCTTTAAATGCACAACACCAAGACAAAACTACAAGGGACAGGGAAATACTACAAGCATCAGGGAAATATGACACTACCAAAGGAACAAAATAAATCTCAAGTAACTGACCTTAAGGAAATATAAATCTACAAATTTCCTGACAATGGATTGAAAAGAATTATCCTAAAGAAGCTCAGTGTATTACAAGAGAACTCAGATGGATAATTAAAATCCAAAACCCAATACCTGAACAAAATCAGAATATCAACAAGGAGAAGTCATTAAAAAGAACCAAACAAAAATTCTCAAGCAGAAAAATACAATAACTAAATTTAAAAATTCACTCGAGGACATCAACAGCAAGTTTGATCAAACAGAAGCAAGAATCAGTGGGCTCAAAATCAGGTCATTTTAAATGACCCAGTTATAGGAGCAAAAAGACAAAAGGGTAAAACGGTGTTAAGAAAGCCCATGGGGCTCATGGAGCATAGTCAAGTGAACTAATACATGCATCACGGTAATTCCAGAAGGAGAAGAGTGACAGAAAGGACCACATAAATTATTCAAAAAAATAACAGCTGAAAACTTCCTAAATTGGGCGTGGGTGAGGGGGAGGGAAATGGAAATTTAGACTCATGTAACCCAAAGCATTCCAAACAGGATGAATCTAAAGAACTCTACAACGATATGCACTTTAATTAAATTGCCAAAGGTCAAAGACAGAGAATTTAAGAATCAGAAAAAGATTGACTGACAGCAACATAAAATCATCTGAAAACACAAAACTTGTTTATATGGACAAATACATTAATAATTGCAGAGTAAGATAATACCTCAATAATGTTATGTAAAAAGTGGTGCACAAATCACTTTAAATTTTAGTATAAAAGTTAAAAGAGTAACAAATCTATATATGTATCCAATTAATCTAAAATTTTAAAAAGTTAAAAGATAAAAATATCAAGACTAACTGTAATTACAAAAATTTGTTAAATGATTTACAATATGAAAAAATAAAGTTATATTAGTAATGAAGTGTGTGGGTGAAGTTGAAGTGTAAGGTTTTTGTATGCAATTTAAGTTAAATTTTGTAAGTACTCTTATAATGATAAGTGTTTTGTTTGTTTGTTTGTTTTTTTGAAATGGAGTTTCACTCTTGCTACCCAGGCTGGAGTGCAATCACGCAATCTCAGCTCACCACAACCTCCGCCTCCTGGGTTCAAGCAATTCTCCTGCCTCAGCCTCCTGAGTAGCCTGGACTGCAGGTGCACACCACCATGCCCAGCTAATTTTTGTATTTTTAGTAGAGACAGAGTTTCACCATGTTGACCAGGATGGTCTCAATCTCTTGACCTTGTGATCCACCCACCTCAGCTTCCCAAAGTGCTGGGATTATAGGTGTGAGCCACCGCACCCGGCCGATAAGATGTTTTATGTAAGCTTTTGAGTAACCAAAAATATACATACAAATATACACAACAGAAAAAGAAAAAAAGTCAAAATCATTACAATAAATCAATAAAACACAAAGGATGATAACAAGAGAGGAAAATAGAGAAAACAATGAATAAAATGGCATTTGTAAGTTTTTTTTGTATCAACTACTTTAAATATAAATGGATTAAATTTCTCAACCAAAGACATAGAATAGCTGAATGAATAACAAGCAGGACCCAACTATATGCTATCTATGGGAGACTCTCCTTATATATAAGGACACATAAAGGCTGAAAATGAAGAGTTAGAAGAAGATGTTCCATGAAAATGGCAACCAACAGAAAGCAGGGTGGCTATACTTATATCAGACTAAAGAGACATTAAGTCAAAAACCATCACAGAGACAAAAATTAATGAAGGCAAGAGTTTAAGAAGGGACAGCCTTCACACATACACATGCCTATGATAAGAATTAGTACAAAGACTCTCTGGAGGGCTCTCATGTGTATATGCCCACAACAGAAACCTTTGCCAAAGCTTTTCCTTTCTTCAGTTTCTTTGGATATGTCTACTGTTCCCATAACCCACATATCCTGGATTTGCAAATCCCCTGTGCAGTTCTGAGTATGCTCATTATCCTGGGGAATCTATCTCTGTTTGTTATTTAGGTCAGCAGTCCAAACTCATCAAACCATACACATTAAATATATGCAGTTCTTTATATATTAATTATACCCCTATAACGCTCCTTTAAAAAGCATAAATGACTGCATTAGTTTTTTATTACTGTTGTAACAAATTACCACAAGCCAAGTGGCTTAAAAAAAACGAAAATCTATTATCTTAGCATTCTGGAGGTGAGATGCCCAACACAGGCTCTTAAGAATTCATTTCCTTGCCTTTTCCAGCTTCTAGAGGCTGCTGTATTCTTTGGTTAATGGCCTTTCCCATTTTCAAAGCCAATAGTAGTTGGTACAGTAATTCATGATTATACTTGGCCTGCATCCTAGAGGATGATACAGCCACTGTATTGTGAGAAAATGCAAGGCTGCCCCATGGAGAGGCCCATATTTTAAAGGTGGTATTTTAAGTTCAGCTGATTAGCAACCTTAATTCCATCTGCAACCCTAATTCCTCTTGCTATGTAATGTGACCTATACTGGGAGTTAGGACATGAACATGTTTGGGTGGCCATTATTCTGTTGTATATTCTGTATTTGAAAGGGATGTATTAGTTATAGGAAAAGATTAGCAAAAAAGATGGGACATCGGTGGTCATTTTACAGAGAGAGACATGCATTACAGTAAAAACTCTGTTACATATGTGAATCACATAATACTAGATAAGACCATAGAAGAAGTTGAAAGTATGAAATAAAAGTCTACTTAACACATCCTGGCATATACATACACACACACACACACACACACACACACACACACACACACACACTCTCATATATACCTATATGGATGTATATGTATAGGAAATACATTTTAATTAAAATATAAAAACTTAGGGCAAATGCTAACATGTATAGTGTCAGGATAATAGGTATACTGTATAGTGAGTGCAGGCAAAGAAAGACATATAATCACATTGTATATGAGCTGGGTACTATTTTTACTAGCTACTAAGAATATCCATTTTACAACTGAAAATTAAGCCATGGGCAGGGTTGAGAGGAAAGGGTAAGAAACTCAATCAGGTTTCTGCATCCAGTAAGAAGAACCTATAAGTTTTATCCTAGAGCTAATGTTGTAAATCACTGTAGAATTTTCTCTCTCATTTAAAGGATAACTTTTAATATGTGACAGAATGCATTTTGATAAATGGCCACAATAGTATTTCCCATCCATTTGCTCTGCTTATGTGTTTTGGGAACTTCTCCCTTTGAGAGATGGTATCTCTGTTCCCTCCACTTGTATATGAGCAGCAAAAGTGACACTATGTGACTTTAGGTCATAAAAAATACATCTTCAGTTTGATTCTCTTGAGAACCTCTACCTTGGAATTCTCTTTTTTGGAACCAAGCCACGGTATTGCGGGGAAATCCAAGGCTGCCCCATGGAGAGGCCTTTATGGAAAGGAACTCACAGCACCTACTTGCCAGCTGGGTGAGTGAGCTATTTAGAAGTCAGTTCAGGGCCAGTTGAGTCACCCGGATAATCCTGCATAGGGCACTGTCATCTCCACATTTGTCGTGAATATAAGTAATTGATATTTTCAGCTTTTAAATTACAGAGTTATTTCTTACGTCACAATAATGAACTGGAATAGGATGACTCTCTGTTTCTAAAGTCAAGCAATTGGCTCTCTTCTTTCCTTCCCTTCTAGAAATGATGCTTTCTGGCAGTTGTTATGGTAGTGGGAAGAAAAGCAAGGGTCATCACCTGATGAGATGTTTGGAATGTGGGATCCTCCTGCACTGAAGAGTGCATGGTAGGGTCTGACTGCAGAGTTCCCCTCAATCATGGGAGGCCTAAGTCCAGGGATTTGGTATCTTCCCCTTCAGGGCTTTCCCAAAGGGTTAATACTGAAATGAAGGCCATAATCACGTTATTAATCTAAGGTATTAAAACAGTGCTTTTCAACTCTGTCACGTATTTGACTCACCTGGGCAGATTTAAAAAGTCCTGATGACTGAGTGCTGCTCCCATACCTAAATGGTTCTGATTTAATTGGTTTGGGGTGGGGTCTGGGTGTTATGATGTTTTAAAACTTCCCCCAGTGATTATAATATGCACCTGTGTGTAAGGACTACTTATTTAGTGCTTAAAGAGAGGATTCTAAAATGAACAAGAGAGGAAATAAGGATTAATTGGTAGAGATGAAGGAAAAGTGCCTTGCCTGGAGCCTTTCCAGAGTGGTAAAATCCACCACAGGCATGTAGCAGACACACCCGACAGAAATAACTTAACTGAAGCATACCCTGAGAGTGACCCTGTGGTCTAAGAAGAATGTGTGTTTGGAGTTCCCAGCTAAGGAATCTGAGAGTGGCCAACCTGGAATTTCCTTTCCTTATCTATGAGGACCATCGGAATCCCTAGCTCATCTTGTGAAATGCAGACTGTACAGGGGACTGAGGCCTGTTGTTTTGGTTTAAATGAAAGTGGCCAGGTGGAGGTTGCTAGGGGGAGAGTGCTAGGTGAAAACGCTGTATAAATGACATGCTTTTTATAAGTGGTTGTGGTTCTCCCGTTCAGCCTAATGTACTGAACTGCCCTGTGTATGTAGGTTTCCTCAATGAACCTTTGTATTCTTTGCTGGCTCCAGGTCTCTTCTTTGGCTTCTAGAATGTGGTAGAATCCCTACCAAAGTTAATAAGGCAGCATGGCCTGGTGTCTATGTGTGTGGTTCAAGTTGGTTTTCTGAAATGTCCCTGTGGTAGTTATTGGAACAACTCCCCTAAATCCAGTGACCCTCTCCTTCTGAGCTCATATAGATTGAATTTGGGGCCCTGCCATGCTTAATGGGTCCATGATACTAATATTGGCCAATGGGGTGAAAACTGGAGCATTTATTTGCAGGCTTTGGATCCTCCAGAACGTTTTTTTCCCCCTTTCTGGCATGGACATAAGCAACATTTGAAATGTGGCTGTTCCATAAGCATGGGTCACAAGCCATTATACAGAATCACAAATGACTATCACCAACCTCCATTGGTTATACAGCGTGAGGGAGAAATAAATCTTTGCTTCAGGTCCCTAAGATGTTGGAATTGTTTGTTACTGAAGCATAACCCATAATGCACTGACTGATACAGAATGCAAGGAAAATGAGCATGTGTTTTTCTACAGAGAATGAGGAAGCTGAATTCCTATGCCTCTGCAGTCAAGTTTCGCCTAGGATTCCTTCAAGGAAAACAAGAGGACAGAAAAAAGACAGACTTTTCAGTTCATGCTTCATGAATTAAAGCAGCATGCTTTTGCTTCGAGTCAGAGAACTGAGTATTTTATTTTATTTAGAAACCAGTATTTGGATCCTGGCAGCTTTCCCCTAAGGGTAAATTGGATACTATGCCAAGTTCACACTCATGGAATTAATTGACTGCTCTACTTTCAACATAAGGTATCAAAGCCTTCCACATTAGTGACCCGTGTAAAACAAACCTTACCACATGGTCTGTGGTTTTCAAGAAGTCTTCTATTAAATGAACTACTCAATATAAGTTTACTGCAGGGGGTGGGAGGAAATGGAAAAATACATGCACACTTAGAATGGGCCTTTGTGTGTTTTCTTTCTTCTAATTTTATATCCAACGGCATTTTTTTCAAAACTTTTTGGTATTCAAAACTCAACATTATTGGCAGAATTTATTTTAGTCACAGGCTTATTCCCAGAGCTAGTGCACAGGAAGAATTAGTTCTTTTAAAAATAAAGCTTACATGTAGAATCCCCATTGTTTGTGCATTTTTGATCATTTTACTGAACTTTTGATGGCCCTCTTTGCCATTTAAATGCTTAAGGTTGCCTTCAGGCCCAGCCTTCTTCGTAGAGTCTCATTCTGTATCTATTTCCTGTTCGGTTATTTCCTGGGGTCCTCTCTTTCAGGACTGTCTTTGGAGAAGCTTCACATTAATTCCTGAAGGCAAATGCACAGCTGTGGCAGGATATTCTGTAGTGTTAACGCCTGCATTTTCTACCCAATATATCCTTTTATTCTCTTTTACATTAAAGAAGACTTATGGACAGGACTAAGAGCAGGAAAGATCTATGATCTCTGACATTTAGTGGTTAAGTAAACAAGAGGGGTATGGTATGCAGACAAAATGTTTGACCAGAAGCAGGAGGGAAAATGAAGCATCCCTCTAAACCTACAAAACTACAAAAGATGTCTCTGATTGGAGGAAAGAAGAAAAGGGGAGAGTTTAAAACCCAATGAATTAATAGAAAATCTGAGGTCTGGTCATGCCAACAGATCAGGAGATGATTTTCATTGAAAAGACAGTACGTTACTCATAGTTCCTCCCAAAGGAAAGTGCATGGCATGCCGTGAGGGGGGCCTAAACAGGGCAAGGTAGATCCGGGGCAGGGGCAGAAACAATGGTTGGGGACCAGGAAATGGGGCAAGAGGTTTTATTGTGGTTTCTAATGAAGAAACAGATTAAGCAGGGTAAGCTGGTTTAGGATGGCTAGTTTGAATAATTTTAGCAGGTTTTAGGGCATAAGGGCTCTCCCTTGTTGTCCAACACTTGGCTCTGGGGTGACTAGGACCAGTGGATGGTGGCCCAGAGTATAAGAGGCCAGCCCAATAAAAAAGGTGGTTGGGGTGTGGGCTCCTTATTGGTTGATTGTATTTAACAAAGCACACACATAGGCAAGTTGCTTACTGCCTCTAGGTATTGGCTAACCGTGGGAGGAGCAGGGCTACAAGATCCCAGACACGAAAGCATCAGATACAAAAAATAGAAGCTATTGTTATTACAAGAAGGGTTTTGTTCTCTAATTTTTGATATCAATAAGATCCAAGAGAGACATGCAAGGCCCCAGAGCAGAAAGAGCTACATTCGTTACGTATTGCTGTGTCAAAAATTACTCCAAGACTTAGTGGCTCAAACCAACAAAGATGTATGATATCACAGCTTTAGTGGGTCAGGGTCTAAATTTGCTTTAACTGGATCCTTTGCTTAGGATCTCTTACAAAGCCTCTGTCAAGATGTTTGTCATGGCTTCAGTCATCTCGGACCTTGGCTGGGGGATGATCTGCCTCCAAGCTGATTCACATGATCACGAGGAGGGTCCAGCTCCTCTGGGCTGTTGGATTGAGGGTTCCTTTCTTGCCATGTGGGTCTCTCCTTAGGTCAGCTCACAACATAGCCTCTGATCTCCATCAGTGAGTGAGCAAGAGAGCAAGAGAATAAGAGAGGGTGAGCAAGATGGAAACCAGCATTATCTATAACCTAATGTCGCAAGTGACAGCCATCACTTTTGCTGTTTCATGTCTGTAAGGTTATCAGTAGATCCTTCCCACAGGCAAGGAGAGCATGGATACCAGGCTGCCTCTCATGTGGACTGAGGTTTAATTTCTCAGCATTGTAGATCCCATGCAGCCTCTCTGCATCTGGACATAGACAAAAATGGAAAGATGCCAGTACCTAAGCATGGGACAGAAAGTCCCAGTTTCCGGGCCTGACTGCCCACACAAACCAAAATTATGAATATTTCAGAGAAGAGAGTGACTTAATAATTAGTCCACTCTCCCTTCTTCCCAAAGTATGTCAACCTCTTGGAACTTTGAGATGGAGTGAGGACTGGGAAGGTGATCCACTAGGGTGACCAAATATGGACACTAGGACATATTCGAGAGTATTTATAATGATATGGTTTGGATGTGTCCTTGCCCAAATCTCTTCTTGAACTGTAGCTCCCATAATCCCCATGTGTCATGGGAGGGACCTGGTGGAAGGTAACTGAATAATAAAGGTGAATTTTTCCTGTGCTGTTCTCGTGTTAGTGAATAAATCTCACAAGATCTGATGGTTTTATAAAGGGTAGTTCCCTGCACAAGCTTTCTTGCCTGCCACCATGGAAGATGTGCTTTTTCTCCTCCTTTACCTTCCATCATGATTGTGAGGCCTCCCCAGTCATGTGGAACTGTGAGTCCATTAAGCCTCTTTTTCCTTATAAATTACCCAGTCTTGGGCATTTCTTCATAGCTGTGTGAAAGTGGACTCATACATGTTATTATGTTAGGGTAAGCCAGGACTGTCCTAGGCAAACCAGGACTTAGGATCATCCCTGGACTAACTTGAAGGAAGATAAATTTGTTTCTGCCATCCTGCTAAGGGAGGTAAAATGAAAATTAAGTTGAGAGGTAGAAAGTAAGGTTCTGAACTGCAAGCATACCCGCTATGCAAGTCCTTCCCTTTGTAAGGGTTTCACTACGAACCTTTACTGGGAAATATTTGCTGGGAGAAGATGTTGAGGAAGTTGCAAATGTGCCAATAATCACATTTGATCGTCTCAGCTGTGGTCTGTAGTCCTACTCCCCTGACAGGTAATCTCTTGACATCCACCATGCCTAGTGTGGAATCATCTCACTCCTTTCCCACTCTAGCTCTGCAGTCCCTATGTTATACAAATGCTTCTGAATGTAGAGTTAGGTCAGATCAGGACCACTGAGGACTTCAAATACCCTCCCAGCCATATAGGCAATGTAGTTGTATCAGGCAAAAAGCTTTGGTTCTTCTTGCTGGTTAGCACTGGATAACACCAGAATCATGCTACAAATTCCTTTATGCTCCTTTCCTTAAGGAGAGGTATTTTATCACCAGGTGCGAACAGTGAGTTTATCACCATACAGACAATAACATAACATCTTTAATTTGCATGTGTGGATGTTTAAGACTTTTAAACTGTCCAGTCTATAAGAATGTACAGATGATGGGTCAAAGATGAATACAGGTGTGTCCTTATAACCAAAATGTGGTAATACAATTTGATGATTTCATCAGCAAATCACCTCAGTTGTCACTCCCAGTACACTTCTTTGGGTAAGAAACAAATACTTGTGA